CATAGACAACCATGGAAATCAACTATACAAACTATGCAAATCAACTCTACAAACTATACCAATCAACACTTTTCCCTCTTAACTGCTTGACAAACTTTGTGCCTGCATCATTGTGTGTGTGCCAGGAAGAGGAGGAGGAATAGAAAAGGATTCACCCCGTGTGTGCAGGTAAATGCTACAAGGTGGCCACAGGGGGACAGCAGTCTCTGTCCCTGGGAGGAGAGCTACTACCATAGCAAAGGTGTCATCTTAAACGGCCTTGACACCTCAAACACAAGGACAAAAATAGCAGCCCCAGAAGGATTTAGTGAAAATAAAATGAAACCTGAGAGCCCCAGAGGCAACTCTGGATTTGCTGGAGAGGCAAAGTGCAGTGCAATCTGGTGGACCCCAAGGTCAAGGGCAGGAAGCATTATTGGAGGCGATAACTTAGGAAGGGGCTGCTTGACCTGGCCCTGGAGTGGACAAAAGGCTATGAGAACTAGATGACAATAATGATTTTAACAAGGATCAGGCTTCACTCAGTGCTCTCGGCTGCTGTGAGAAACTCTTACTCTTGCAAAACCACAAAACCTGTCTGACTCAGGAAAGACAGATGGAAAGAGAACACTTTACACAAAACACAATTCCAGATCCCTCATCAAGAAACACCTTCAAGTGATTCCTTACAGGCAAGGCCCTGTAGCAGACACAGCAAAGAAAGTCTTCCAAAACGCCTGGCCTCACACAAACACTTCTGGATCAGCATTTATGGCAGGCCTGCTGGATGCACGGTATCAGTACTGTTCACCTCAACTTCATCCCAGGCACATGGGCATAAAGAAACAAAAGAAAGCCTGTCACTGAAAAGCTCATGAGCTAGTTGGCAGAGACCATACATAACCTAAACCAGCGACTCTCAACCTGGTTGTTCATATGAAACAGTTGGAAATCAATTCCGGGGCCCCATCCACAGATCCCCAGACCTACTGAATCCGAATCTCTGGTAGAGGAGCCTAAGAACCACTTGAAAGAGAAAGTTCTCCAGGTTGCGCTAGGGGTTACCTGGATTTAGGAAAATATGCAGCATGTTTTTCACAGAGAACATCTCCCTTGTTTTTCTGGCTGAACACCTTTGGTTTTTAATATGCAAGCTTCATAGGATGCAAATATTTCCCAATATAGCATCACTGCACCAATGTTGGTAAAGGAAAACATATATTTGTCTCCCCAATACTCAGGGCAATATAGTTTTTAAGACAATGTGCAAATAAAGAATTGAGTGCCCTTCCAAATAAAATCAGTACAACATCAGAATGACATGTAGCGATTTGAAAGCTGAGGGTCAAAAACAGAACTCGTGTCTCCAAACGTGGCCGGTGCTAAGAAGTGTTCTGTAGCATCACTGCAGGAGAGGTGGCCGATTCTCAGCATCCATATTAATCGTTTGACATATCACAAGCAAAGTTTTAAACATTTTATATTCTAACATGATCACTTGTTCCATATGTAGGTATTTTACCTTGTCCTAGTTATGATTTAATAAATTTGTTAAGGGTTGGAGGCTACAGGTTAATGCCATATAATTTTTCCTATCTAAAATAGGTAGTTACAGGCCCCAAGTTAACATTTTCGGGCAGAATGTGTGAGGATGGGAAATAAATTATTGATGGTAAGTGTGAGATGGCTATAATTCAAGTCTAGTGTGGTTCTTGCAGCTGCTAGGAGCCACATTCAGCACAGGGGGAGATCAAAAATACCTGCGTGCACCTGCAAAGCCACAGTGAGGCCGGTGAAAATGGCACTAGGACCTTAGCAGATGGTGAGGTGTTTTCCAGGCTGGAAAATGGAAAGGAGAAAGGAGATGAAATTTTAAGAGGAGAAAGAATTCCATGAGAAGGCAGAGATGTTTGAAAGAGCTTGGTCCTAGGTAGGGAATTTGACTTTGTGTATCTGGAACTTAAAGTGCGTGTGAAGAGCTGAGAAGAAAGGAGAGTGGAGGCCGGGTGCGGTGGCTCACACCTGTAATCCCAGCACTTTGGGAGGCCAAAGCAGGTGGATCATCTGAGGTCAGGGGTTCGAGACCAGCCTAGCAAACATGGTGAAACCCTATCTCTACTAAAAATACAAAAAAATTAGCTGGGCATGGTGGTACACACCTATAGTCCCAGCTACTCAGGAAGCTGAGGTAGGAGAATTGCTTGAACCCAGGGGGCAGGGGTTGCAGTGAGCCGAAATCGCGCCATTGCATTCCAGCCCAGGCGACAGAGTAAGACTCCATCTCAAAAAAAAAAAAACAAAACAAAACAAAAAAAAAATAGAGAGTAGAAAAAGAGGGATGGGTAGGTCATTCATTCATTCGCGCATGCATTCAGCATGTGTTTAATGAGCATCTACTATGTGCCAGGCACTGTTCAAGGCACTGAAGATATAGAAAGAAAACAGACAAACCAAAAAAATCATCATCATGATCTCTTCCCTAAAATAGCTTCACACCCAGTGGGGAAGAAAGACATTAAACAAATAAACACAGATGGTCTTTAAGGGTATATAATGTGGGGAGATACCTAAAATGGTTTTGATGATGATAGATGATTTCCCTGATGATTTTTTTTTTAAGTTGGACTCTGAAGGTTGGGTCCCTACTTATTAGGATAGGATACTGGATCCTTTGAATGTTTTAAATGAGTTCTGGTTTGGCTGTATATGAGAACTATTTCCCATTTACCCATTTTTGCATTTTAACATCCAGAAGGCAAAAATGGGTTGCCAAGGAGCCGTAAGAGATGTGTTTGAGACAAACAGAGCAGAGACCTAAGTGAGAGGCACAGGAAGGGAGGCTGTTGAAAAACCAGACATACGGAGGGGCAGTTTCTACAGTGTCTGTGGCTTAGCCCATTTGGACCAGTGCCCTCTGGCTGTGGCCAGCAAAGGCCTCCATGTAGTCTGCATTGGAGGACAGGCAGCGTAGAGCACAAGGTACCGCTGATAACTTTGTATCTGGAAATGATTAATACTCCGTCTTGGAGAGCAGCTTAGAGTACTGCCATTCTGCTCAGCTCCTAAAGAGCATGGGTGGTTTCAACTGGACCTTGGAGAACATGAACAAACCGAGTAGGTAGGGTTTGCACACTTTGGCTCCCCAAAGAATCCATCAAAGCATTTTATAGACTGTGAAGTCCATAAAGATGGTTAGGTCTGCATTGTTCATTCCAACATTCATTCCACAGTTACTTTCTGAGTGGCTTCCATGGGCAAGGCACTGTGCTAAGAGAGGGTAGGAGGGAAGACACAAGACGAAGCAGGAACTGCATGTGCAAAGGCCCTGAGTCTGCAAGGAGTGTGGCAAGTAAGACAGACCTTAAGAATGCCATTGTGGGAGACAGCCAAGAAGGGAAATCCTTCAGAGCAGAGGAAAGAGAATGAGCAGGGACAGGTAGGCCATCTCATGCACAGTGAGATCACACTGAAGAGTTTTCAGTGTCCAGCAGCGATAAGTTCAACCAGCTTTGTTTCCAAAATATCATTCTAGCTGTACCATGAAGAGATCGGAGGGTAAACTGAGGCTTGTGGTAAAAGCCAGCGAATTAAGAGACAAATTCACCCATCACACCAGGAGCTAATTGAGTTTGGACTAGGGAAGAGCTACTCAAACCCTAGCTTTCAGCCCAGCAGTATCACTGTACCTGGGAGCTTTAGAAATGCAAATTCCCAGGCTCAAACCTACTGCATCAGAATTGCTAGGAGGGGCCCAGGAATCTGATCTTCAGGTGGTTTTTGTAACTCTCAAGTTTGAGAAACACTAGACCAGGGCAATAGTGGCCCTGAGAAATGTTGCATGAAGTTGTATTTTGAAAAAGTGAGTAATTGGACTGATAAGAAATGATGAGCACATTTCGATAAATCTATATTATAGAATATTATGACACTATTAAGAATTAGATGATGTATACACATACAGAAAGATACTTTTGATGTACTATTACAAGAAAAAGGAAAATGCTGAAGAAAAAGTATAACGGTTTATTAAAAATAGTTAGACGTGCCTCTAGTCCACATGTGTATATATTTCTATGTTTATGTAAGAATATAAAAAGCTATAGAATACCATATATCAAAATGTTAACATCAGTTCCCTAGTGGGCAGGAAGTGGAGAAGGACTGAAAGTGATTATTTACATTTTTAAATATAGTTTTTCTTTTTTTGTGAAAAACAAGCATTTTTATAAATACTTTTATAACTTAAAAGTTTTGCAATTATACAAGTATATAAATATACTCCTTGATAATTCAAGTGCAACTAATACAGCAGTCATGCATACAGTGGGTGAGAGGCCCTAGCAGAAAGCACACTGGCCTAGGAATCGAGAGATTTACCTTCTAAATTGGGCTCTGCCCTGACTCCCGGCTGCTTCCCTTCCTTGGGCCACTGTGGAATGAGACAACTGTGCTAAAGCTGGACCTCCATACTTGTCCCTCATTACCATATTTTAAGTTATTTGTCTTTATGGTTCCTGGGTTTAGAGAAATGATCCCTAAACTAAGCTTATTATACACTCAGGCCTCTCTTTCCATATTGGTCAGTAAAATGTCAAATTTCTGTTGGGCTTTTTAGACTACCAAAATTCAACCGAGTCCCTTTTTGCAGGGATCACTGAAAAAGAGGATATCTATCTAGGGCATTTTTCAGTCAACAGCATAAACACTCCTGATGCTATGATTTTTCTTAGAACTTCCTGTGAGGAGTGTGGCCCCTGGCACAGACAAAACAGAACATCACCAGGCTTCATGTGCTATGCTCACCCAGGCATGACCAACATGACAAAGGCCTGCAGAGGTGCCTAGCTGTCCCTAGAGCATCAATGTCAGGGGGTCGGGGTGGGGGGAGGGGAGAGAGGCCTTTGAGTGCAAGCAGCATTCTAGGCTCAAAAGAGCCAACTTTGCTGATTCAAAAAAAAATTTTTTTTCAAAAACGCCTGTGGGTAAATTTGAGTTGCCCACAGCTCCCCAGGGGCATCTCGAACTTGCTGTCGAGCCATTTCTGTGGATTTCAGTCAAATTCTAATTTTAGTCTTCATTAAACATGGGTAATTCCCCAGCCGGTCCCTGCCTCACCTCATACACAGAGTACATTGGCAATATAGGTCACTGAGACTTCGAAAGCACTCCCACATCAAAGAGAAACCTTTTCATTATAGGTATTAACTTTATAAATAAGGATGAACTTTAAATTTTTTTCCAAAGCCGTGCGGCAGGTATGAAGAGAGTTGGCATCCTCCTTGTGAACAAGTGGGTGAGTGTGGTTTGTTCTGGAGGTAATTGTTCACGAGGTTTGTGTCCGGGGAGGTGGTATGGCATGAAGAGGTACCTGCACCTGTCCCTCCATTTTGACTGGTATTTATTTAGACTAGTAAGATGGGACACAACTGGAGTGTGTAATGTTGTAAAAATTCACACAGGCAAATTCATGCACGTGCACACACACATCTACCCATTATGGACAGGGTCATGTCTACAGACAACAAACTGCATAAAACAACATTTGATGCCTTTCTTAGCTTGTAAACACTGTATTTCTTATCATAGCTGTATCAGTTAATATCTTTTGATCTGAAAGTAACTAAAACAAAAGCATGGCTTAAATCCTAAGGATATGTAATATTCCACCAAACAGTCCAAAGGTGTTGACTCAAATACTAGCTGAATAGCCTCACCATCACGAGGTGGCTGCTGTGGCACCAGACATCACTTCCTCGAACGAGAGTATTCATATGACATGACAAGTCTCAATTGTCGCATTGGGCATCAGAAATGTTTTCTTCCCTGTTCAACACATTTGCATACATAGTTCCCGGCACCTTAACAAAGGCTCCTCCTTTTCTGTGCTCAGTTAACCCCTGCCCATTTCTGAGGACGTAACACAAATGTCAGCTCTTTAAAGACCTTCTTGTCCACCCTGGAGAAGTCTACCCTGTCTGTCTCATTTTGTTCCCTACCATCAAAGCTTTCCTCATTTCTCCATGTAAGTGTGTGTTTACCTGCTTTCCTCGGGACATTGTGAGCTGGATGAGGCAGGAACTGTGGTTTGTTGGTCTCTGGATGTCCTGTGCTTTACCCAGGGTCTGTCCTTCTGTGTCTGCTGACTGAATGAACAACAAAAGAGAATTGTCCAAGTGCCATCCTAAGTTCAAAAAAACCAAATCCCTATGCATGTAGTGTGGATTCAACGAGAGAAACCGGGACCTGCCTTTACCAAGGCACAGGTGGGGAGGCCCGTCCTGCAGATGGGCACTGCAGGGACCTCATCTAGAATATTAGAGAATGTCTCCTACCTGCCAGACTCCAAGAGATCAACACATTCTTTAGGCTCTAAAGATTATGACGGGACTTCAGAGAGGCTATTAAAAGAACACGGGCACAGCTACCCTACACTCTGGGGTTGTGCTGGGGTGTAGGTGACCATCAGGGTAGACAGAGAAGGAGGTTTAATCTTTTTCTCCATTGGCACCCCCTGGTCAGTTTCCAAGAAACGGCCTGGTTCTACTGCTGGGGCAAGGACACATCTGCAGTGGCAGCAGGCCCAGGGAGTTGGAGACCTTCCCACAGGGTGGCTGGCTCAGGGCCTAGTGGCTATTGGCAAGTCAAGAGGAAGAGGGTGGGAAAAGCCATTTTCCCCTCCTCCCTCCTGGCCTCACAATGCTGCAAAGGCCAAGACCAGGCAAGCAAACAGAATCCAACTCTCTGAGAGATCAGGGGGCCAGGCTGGCCCGGGGCTGCAGTCGGCTTCAGGGCAGCCACAAAACCCTGGGGTATGAGAGGTGTGGCTTCCAATCCAACCCATTGCAGAGGGGAGCAGGTGAGAAGATGCCACAGAATGACCACATCTTCTCAGTCCCAAAGGGACAGCCTTGGGGCAGAGCCAAACCCTGTGTGTTTGAATCCTACCTCTGCCATGTAGGAGCTACAGAGCCTTGGGGGATTTATTAACCTCGCTGCACCTCGGTTTTTTCATCACTAAAACTGGGATAATAATACCTGCCATGTTAGGTTGTTATAAAGATTAAACGAGTTAATATCCTTAAGTGCTTACAAGAATGCCTGGCACATAGGGCATGCTATCTATGTAAAATATAAACAATGAAGTGAGGTAATTCACTAAAACACCAGGGAACAGAGAAGCCTAGATCTTCCAGTTTACCTGGACTTCGGATGTTAGGCCCTGTCCACACAGCACAAGATGAAGGGGAGAGTTGGAAGCCACCACTAGTTAACCTGGTTAATTAAACCAGGTCAGGAACGCTATGCACCAAGCATGCTACATCAGTGCCTGAATCATTGTTATCATAGTTTTCGTAATATTGATGGTACCTTGTTCCATAATACAGTTGAAAACAAATCAGTTCAGATCTTATATATGAGCTGGAGCTCAAAGGGTGCACTATTTGAATTGTATTGCCATGGACTGGGTAGAAGGGAAACAGTTTTTGTGTCAAAGAGTCACAGAATGGAGGGTATGAGGATGACCAGACTCAGACCAAATGTGAGATCGAGACTTTAACAGTCCCAGGATCTAAAACTCTGGAGAGAAGACACGTCTCCAATGATGAGATGCATCGAAAGGGGGAAAGAACATGGTCTTCTTCTCAAAATATAAAATTAAACCATTTACTGTCTTGATGGTTTGATCAGCATCTGTTCCTTTTACAGAAAGCACATTTTGCACTGGGGCTTTGTCCAAGTATTCAAATGTGTGTTGCTCCAATATTCTCCACCCCCTCGCCTACCAGTCCTGGAGTTAATATTGTTTATGGGCTGCTAGTTTCCTTTGATTATTTTTATTGATGCTTGGTGCTTAAGAATCAGCAGATTGATGGCACCCCTGGAGCCAGACAAACTCTGGGCAGATGCTAACCTGAGTCCCTTTCCCTGCTGAGAGCACCCAGACCCTGGAACGCCCGAGGCAAGTCCATGGTGCCATGCTGAGCAGTCAGAGAGCCAGCCATTGTTGGGAGACATTGGGGGCATTAAGGAAAACCACATGCCAAGCCACAACTGTCATTGCTTCCATCATTCCCCACATGTAAGGCTGCTCCCTCCACTCCCTGACTCTCCAGATACTTCTCTGATGCCGCTGCATGTGTGGTTCCCTTGGCCCAGGGTAATCTTTGCACATCTCTTCCTAGGGAATAATCATACTGAAAGACTCTGCTCCAATTGCACCTTGATCAGGAAAACTTGTCTGAATTCTCACTCTGCGTACTGGGAGAACCCTAAGCTGGCCTCTATTTTAACCCACAGACAAAGCCTCCTACTTATTTGAAGTTTTGCACGTAGACTCAGATCCTCAGAACAACCTTTCTTCATCTCTGCATGTCCTTCTAAGCACTGTTCCTTGTATAAAAAAATGAATAAACAATTTTTACATGCCTAAAGCAACATAGGTGTGTAAATCTTAACCATTACAAAGTGTATCAGTTTCCTATGGCTGTTGTAGCAAGCAAAGTGCCACAAACTCCATGATTTAAAAACAACATACATTTGTTATCTTACAGTTCTGGAGGTCAAAGTCTGAAATGGGTCTTATGGGGATAAAAGGACTGTATTCCTTCTAAAAGTTCTAGGGGAGAATTTGTTATCTTTTCCAACTCCTAGAAGGTCATGCACATTCATTGACTCATGCCCCACCTGCCTCCACTTCAAAGCCAGTAGCACAGCATAGCATCTTTAAATCTTTCTCTCCCCCATCTCTCTCATGCACACCTGCTTCCACTGCCCAACTTTTTTTTTTTTTTTTTACACAGAGTCTTGCTCTGCGGCCCAGGCTGGAGTGCAATGGCATGATCTTGGTTCAATACAACCTCTGCTTGCCTCCCAGATTCAAGTGATTTTCCTGCCTCAGCCTCCCAAGCAGCTGGGATTAACTGACATGTGCCACCACACCTGGCTAATTTTTGTGCTTTTAGTAGAGACAGGGTTTCACCATGTTGGTCAGGGTGGTCTCGAACTCCTGACCTCAAGTGATCTGCCTGCCTCAGTCTCCCAAAATGCTGGGATTACAGGCATGACCACTACGCCCAGCCACACAACTCCTTTGCTGACTCTGACCCTCCTGCCTCCCTCTTAAAAAGACCCTCGTGATTATATCTCAGATAACCCAGAATAATGTCCCCATCTCAAGTTCCTTGATCCCATCTGCCAAGTCCCTTTTGCCATATAAGATAACATATTCACTGGTTCAGGGAATTAGGACATGAACACCTGTGGGGCCATAATTCTGTCTAAAACATGAAGGGAGCATGAGACTGTGATAAAGCACTGATGCAGTAGTCGGAGGGACCTGGGCCCTAGTTCCCACGCTGTTACTTCCTCCTGTGTGATCCTGGGTAAACTGCTTAACCTCTCTGAGCATAATTTTGTCTATGGAAGCTTATGGGGTTACTTAGGGATATAAAAAGATTTATAGTCAACAGAAAAGCACTTTTAAATACTGGGATACAAAACAAGTGCAGGATCTTGTTTCAGATACTTTTTCTTTTTTAGGGATCTTCCAGCTAGACAGCTCTTTAAATTGACTCGAAGTGAGACAGGATAGAAAAACACACCACATTATTTAGAACATTACAAAAGCCACTATGTCATAAAATTAAGGGATATGACCAGTTAGGCACTCAAAGGTAAATTCATAGCTGAGTATTTTTTAAAAGCTTATGTATGAGAGCCCTTAATGGATAACAAGCGTTATCATATTTGATTCTCAAAACTACCCTACTGTTATAACTCATTTATACTTAGGAAAATAGAGGTCTTAGAAATGTTAAACAGACACCAGAAGTAGTAGAAATAAATCTAATTTAAATCAAGGCTTCATAGTGCAAAACCTGTGTTCCTCAATCACTATTTATCCTGGCTATCATAGCTTTTTCAGGGAGGCATCCAGTTTTGTTGATTTTCTTTTTATCTAATGTAGCCAAAACTTACATTATTCCCATAGTCCCTTCTTACAATTTATGGGCACACCAGCCTGATTTATGAGGGCACACATCTCCATGGTTTTTGTAGATCTGCCTCTAGGTTGCCAGAACTTCATTTGGCCATGGTCATGGTAAAAGTTCTCCCTGCATACAACCTTTAACCAGTGATTGGCAGGGTATAGGATATAAATGTCCCCAACTCCCCACCCCTTGAATGGGAAAATTTGGAGCTTTTGTTCACACCACTTCCCAGAGTTTCCATTCAGGATTTAGCTTGAGTTGCCCCACTGTAGCAGTTGGCTTAATACCTCACCTCTTACTGGCTGCCTGCCCTCCCCTGTACAGGTGCTGGGCCTTTGGTTGGGTCTGCTTCTAGGATGGGGAACTCAAATAAGACATGTAGATGTGACAACCAAGAAAGTTATAGTGGTTCCCAACACAGGAAAGGAAAAATGAAACAAAACACAACCCCATAAGTGAATTAAAAATAAAATAGCATTTAAAATGGTGGACTAAAATTGACATAAAACCAAAAAATGTGGACAACAATCTTGATATGCTTTTCCTAGAACACCAAGTAAAAAAAACAAATGTTGAGAGGGAAATTCATAGATAGGAAAAACACATGGCAAAGTTCCAACTCCAACATATGGATAACCGGTGTTGCAGGAAACCAAAACAAATAAACGAAAGTAAAATGGGAGCTACAATGAAGCTGAATAATTTATTCTGAAAGTGAAAAGGCAGGCAACATTAACACAAGAAGTAATACCTAGATATAACCTCTTTTATCGCTGTTTTTTTTTAATTCAAAAACAGAAGACTACTAAGAGTATTTAGGCAGAAAACTCAGATTACCTATAAAAAGAGAGAATGCATGCTGGCCTTCCAACAATATATCCCAGAAGAAAACTGAATAACATCCACATTAATGGGGTTTTAAAGGAGGAAAAAAAATGGCTACCCTGTGAATATTATACCCAGCCAAATAGACAGGCACACCTGAAAATGATTCAGTGATAGATACATAGTGACACATAAATTGTAACATGCATTTTAGATTTTAGGGGAGAAAATTACTAAAATATTAGTAAAATGGAAAACCAAAATCTCTACATTCTTAATTCTGCTTTGATTAAAATCAGATTTAAAAGATAATCTCATAGGTAACT